CAATGTAGATGCCTATTACAAAGAAAAACTTCAATTCCATATTGGCGACAAGGTATAGTTACTTTGTTACAATATCAAGACTAGTTGCCTTTGTAACAAACTCGATTACTATAGGATTCCTCCATTTTTTTTATTTGTTAACAAATCAATTCAATTTTTTATCAATTATATCCATTGGAGTCTATGAAGATCCATTCTATATTCCATTTATTTCTTCTTGAGCCATATAAAATAGTGAATATCTTAAAAAGTAAATAAATACCACTACTACTTATAAAAGTGGATAATAATCAAGAGTTTGAAGTGGATGAAGTCTTATACTCAAGGCAATACTGAAATAGGTTAGAATATTTTATTTATTAGTGTGGATATGATATTAATGAGCACACATGGGAGTTGGCAAAGAATCTTGCAAATGCAGCAAAGGAGTTTTATATATTTTATTAACAATATTTATCAAAATCAAGATAAAAAATAGAAATCTTTCTTATAAAAAAAACACAATTTAGGAAAGATTGCATTCTATATTTTATCCTTATTTATATTTTTTGTATATTTTTGTAGTGTTAAAGAGATGAAAAACCAATAATTAGCAATTTTAAGTTATGAACTATTGTTTGCTGACTTATTATATTAAATATTGCCATTGATATAACTTCCAAGACAACATAATAGAAATAAAGACTTTCAAGAGGAAAATGTCATTTTTTGAATAGATAGCAAGATACTATTTTTTTTGGTATCATGACCTTGGAAGAAACTTTCAATGTTTGGTGATTTTATTAGAAATAAGAATAATTCCTAATGGTATAACAAATATTTTTTTTGAAGGAAGTTACAAAGTACTCAATAGTGATTAAATATCAAGGTTATTGTCATGTCCTAAAATGATAAATTATCAATGACTAAGAGGACTTATCAAGTACCTACAAAGATAATAAAGTTTAGAGTATGTAGAAAATATAATTTGTTGCATCTTGGACTTTATCAACATGTAATCACTACTCCTCGAGGAACTCATGTCTAAAAAGAAGGATAATATCATAGATATATTTATCTACTTTTATAATTATTTAGATAATATAATTTAGTGGAATTAGATAGAAATAAGTTAATATGATAGTATTTTATAAAAAAAAACTTTTTAAAAGATTCATAAATGTGGATTCATAAATAAAAATTCACCTTTATATATATATTTGTAGGTATTTGATAGGTTGAATATTTGACCAATAAGTTAGCAATGTTTTACACATGTTCATAACTTATATTACAAACTAGCCATTTAGTACACATATAGTGTAACAAGATATGGATAAGATAATTGCATAGATAGTTAGAACCATGGAAGTTTCTAGAATTGGGATTAAGTTAATGGACAAAGTAGGATCCATCGTAAAATATTCTAAAAAGAGTTCAAGGTGGTTATTTAGGTGGATCTACCATGGAATCTTATAGAAAAGGCTTAAAGTAATTTTTTAGGTAGAATCCACTATAAAATATTCTAAAAAAGGAATTTAAGGTAATTATCTAGGTAGATCCTATCACTTAGAAATATTTCAAAAAGTCTAAGGTGGTAGAAGAAGGTATAAATAGGACTAGCCAGGGCCTTTTGAGGCATTTGATTAGGTATGGCTTTGGATCCTTTCTCTTATTAAAATTTGATTTTTCATCTTTTTACTCAGTTTTGTTTTGTTCTATTTCCATGTGCTCTGTTTTGTCTTTCATGTCCAATTTTGTTTAGTTCTGTTTAATTTTGTTTTAATCTGTTTTTTCCTATTTTGTGATGAAGCTTTATGTTATTGTAGATTAGAAGGATCTTGGATTTTTGAAATAGTCAAGTCTTATTTTATATAAAAAACTTGCCTTGTAATGAAGACATGTATTAGAAGTCTTATAGTATGTTGTCATGTAGTTTTTATTTAGGTAGTATATATAGAAGCAAGAGTGAAGCCTTCTTTACTCTTATTAATACCTTTTTATTTCTTGGTCTTATTTCAAGTCTTTTTAATCTTCTTGTCTTTGGCAATAGCCATTTTTATTTAACATTATACCATTTGAGAGTGATTACTTAGTCTTTTTGAATCTTATAAGAATGTATTGATTTTTTGATTCTTTGATATTCATGTCTTAGATACAAACATTATTTAGAAGTTGTAATGACTTTTTGAAGTTTATAAATTCAAATATTGAGTAGCTATTTTAGTTGATAAAATTTTATTTTAAAAATATTTGTGGTACAAAAATAGACTCATGATATTTTTAATGCTCTATCTTGCAATAAAAAAGATTATACTTTATCAATATGTGCTTGTTTTTGTAATTTGAACAAATCATTAGAAAGGTTTTTTTATATATCTTTTACAAAATATTCATGAATTATATTTGATCCTAGTATTAATCTCTTATAATTTTAAAGACATCTTTTGCTATGTTAGTAGAACTAACATACCTTAGAAAAATATTTACTATATTCATTTTTAACAAAGTTGCATACTTGTCTTTCTATCAATATATTAAAGTCTTTGGTATAATATACATAAATTTTGCATAAGATCACAATGATTTATACTATTAAATTATATTCTTTAAAATATATATATAATAATAATATTTCTTTAATAATTGATAAATATAATGGTTTTAAAAGCTTAAGAAAATTTTCAAAAACACATATATTTGTCTTAAAACCTACATATATTAATAATAGAAAAGATTAATGTTAATTGTTTGATAAAAAAGTTGTTGGAATATTTTATAACTAAATTTAATCAAATATAAATATAGATATAGTATTTTTTTTTATATAAAAACTTTATAATCCTTATTGGCACAATACATGGCTAAAGTCTCTATACTATATAGAACTTGTATTTCACATAAATCCATCAAGGATTGAATCAATCTTTTGAGCTTTCTGTTGATTCATAAGAATGTTCAGTCCTTGCAAGTGTATAATAACAATGGAAATCATTCCCGCAACATCATTCATTACAAGTAATACCACCCATTAAGAAAAGAGAGAGATATATGTAAGTAACTTCTATGTAAGATACTCATTGATTATTATGTGTCTTTGCCACAAAAATCCACTCAATTTTTTTATAGACAACTATTGTGTATCCATGAATTTTAGGTATGTACAACCCATCTTCTTGATGAGATTGTACTGTTAGCAAAGGTAAGAAACGAGGCCCATCAAGATGTTGATAAACTAATTATCATACAGCTTGACATATTTTGCTTGGACCATAAGATCAAGTTCATATAGAGTACACCACATCTGCACAAATCCATCACCAACGACCTCGACTAATCTTGTCATGGCACCAAAAATCCAACCAGTCATTGTTTACTCGCTATTCATGTTAATTCCAATTAGTTGTATTTTCCATTTTAAAACAACATCCAAAAGTTTTGCATTTGTAGTAAATATTACTTTGGTTGTCTTATAATCAAAAAGCAGAATAGCAAGAAGGTGGAGATTGTACAACTTTGATTAATGCTCAAATTGAATTCAAAAATCAAGGGAAGAAGTGCCTTGCTTTGAGCCAACATCAATATATGCAAAAATGCCCACTACATGTGGAAGAACTCGATGATTTTTTATAAGCTCACAATACAAATCACCATCACAAATGAAGCTACATGTTTTTACTACATCCATTGAAGCAGCTCATATGCAACATAGTCTTTGTAACATTTGCAAGATGTGTTGCTATTTGGAACAATGCTCTACATGAAATGAAGTCAATCACAAGACAAAAAAATTGCAAAGAATTGATCTCCACCTTATATGCTTTGTAGTTTAGATCTTGCTCTATATCGAGCTTAATTTGGTCATTGCTTGCATCTTTGAAGAACTTGAAAATTGACAATGTCCATTTATGAGTTGGCACAGATTTCTCATTGTCTACATTGAATAATATGTCACCAATAATCACATCCATAATATCTTGATTGATTGTAAACATGAGATCTGCAATTCTAATGGGTCTACAATTCCTTCACCATGGTGAATTCAATGTGCATACTTTGACATAATTGTTGTGATTGTACATCAATATTCCTTTGTGTAGATTACATGATACAGGGCCTCCTCCAATTGTATAGAGGAATATTGTTAAGACCTTATTTTAGGGCATCTTACTAAGCTTATTCTAAAGAAATTAGAGTTTTTTTTAAAAAAATCCTAATTTAAAGAGACATATACATAGTTGCAAAATAACTTATAAATTTAAGTATTTATTAATATCAAACTCAAGTTTATGCAATATAATCCATTATTTTTTTTCTTGTCACTCTTATCAACCTTTGTAATCTCAACAATCAACTTGAAGAAAATTTCAGATGTTTTATTTTTGGACACTTTTCAAATAAGTAACTACTTACATAAAAAAACTAAAAATTTAAAATATTTAAATATATGAATTAAACCTTAAAATACCAAAAAATTATCCTTTAATATTAATTTGGGATTCAATTGCCACAAAGGTCCATATTGGCAATAATCTATCTTGAAAAGTTTGGCAACTCATGGTAAAATTAGTTAAGGCATACATTAGAAAAAGTGTTTTCTTTCACCAATATAAGAAACCTCAAGCAGACTGCTTTTAATGTGAAAAGAAACTCAATTCCGAGAGGCCAGATTTTTTTTGTGCCCTCAGTAGGAGGCAGCAAGGATTGCCTCAAATGATCGGATAGTTCTTACTAATGGACTTTTTGATCTATATCATATGGAGATGCTATTTGTTCTTTTCGTAAAGCAATTAGTGTATCCTGTTGGGAAGAGATTCGTAGTGTTCGTGATAAATTCACTTGATCCCATCTTAAACTGCAAAACCTCCAACCCTCTGCTGATTCACAATTAAATCTACAGTCTTTGTGTATGTACAGTTAAATTTATGCCGAGAAAGCCTGTTACTCAACATCCAACCTCTTAACAACAAAGAAACCAGTAGTTGAGAACATGTCATTTTCGAAGGTTTGTCTCGGCTCAGTTTGAAAGAAAGTTATGGATGAAGTTGATTGTAGATTTATGGACATAACATAAATCTGGCCCTGATATTAAAAAGATGCTGCATAAGCCACAGCCATTTTATGTCTCCTCACTCTATTCCGTAATTCAGAAAAATGGAGTACGCAACATAGTAGATCCAAAGTATTTATGAAGCGCCAAACTATAATCCGAAGTCACAGAAGCATGCCAAAACGAGTGCACATCTGCACGTCATCGAAGAGTAGCTTGCACCCCATAACCGTATTGCAGCAGCTCCATATTTGCACGCGTGAGTGCAGTGGAAATGTAGGTAATTATTCCACGCAAGAAAGCAAAATCCAATTCATGTAAATAAAGACAAGCCTCCGAAAGTGAACAGATCATTTTCATGCCAAAATAAGAATCATGTCACCAGAAAAATGACATGTACCTTCAAAATTTACCAATTTTTTAAACCAGTTTCACTTGAGCTTCAACTCAATCATCTGCATCATCTTGTTCATGGTCCTTCAATTTGGGTTCCAAATCTTCTCCATATTGAATGCAGTTGTCCACGCAGGACAAAAGGTATTGGATGCTGCAAAAATGTCCGCGAGATTTCAATGCAAATGACTTCATAAGTTGGGTAAACAACTTAATTAGCAAATTTGAAACTGTTCTTTAACATTCAGAACCGATGCGCGTCTAAGGCAGCAAAAAGGATTCAAATTCATTTCGACGTCACCAGTTAACTGATATTGATTACAAAAATGCAACAAAATGAAAGACTCAGATGCTGCACATCTGGCAGCAACGAAAGCAAGTGCCAAGATTGCAAGGTCTAGGACTAACCTTTCTTCATTTCTTATGTCAAGAGGGATAAAGTTGACCATGCTGTAATCATCCACCTTCAAAAACCCACAGAATTTCGTACGTCAAATTTCCAACCAAAGAGAGATCACCGTCGACTATCCGTAATCCACTTCAGCGACATTATATCCCATGGTATGAAGTATCGGACGGATGCTAGTGAAAAGTATTCGAGGAAAAGACGCCACTAGAATAGAAGCATTATCCAGGTGAAGCATTCGCGGTGTTTATGCAAGGCATTAAAGGGAAAGATACTAAAAGCAATGCGCTGAAAACGCAACAATGAAATTTCCTGCAGTCTCTGTAAAGTGTTTACAGGTGATCAACAACGGCGTTGGTGTAAATAATGAATCTACACTTCAAACCAACACCATCACTCCATGGAATTCTACAGCCGAAGATGTTGGTCATTGAAGATTCTAACATGCATACATCCAGAGTACGGTGCAGTACCGTAAAATGAAAATATAATAAAAACAGTGCATGATTGAACGAATGCATACCAGTTCAGCAAGTGCATGATTCAATTTCCGAAAGCGTGGAGCCATGTGGGCATTCAAGTCATCGAAAAGGAGCCGAACATCGGGATCCAAGAACCTGACTCATACAGGTTGTAATCAGTCGCGGCTGAGAAGTGGTTCATAAAACAAAGAAGCACAAAATGAAGTTCTTGCAGTCTTCTTGAAGGGCAACCATGAGAGCATTTGGTTCATCTATGATAAGATTTACAGGATTTTCGATTCTGTTGATGGTGCTCAACCCACACATTGGAAGAGGTTACTGTAAAATAAACTAGTCAACACTAGGCACAACAAGCGTTTGAAAACACAACTTTACCTATCAATGTCGCGCTTGTTGGGGAGAAGATCAACCTTCGTCAGCACATTGATGTGAGGAAGTTCTAGCTGAATCATAGCAGACAGCGAAGCCATACAGCCACTAATGTATTTGGTGACATCTGAGACAAACTATAAGCCCGACAACAAAACTACAAATTAGAGGACATTGGCACCGCATATAACTTCCAAAAGTCAGATGAAAATTCATACTAAATACCAGATTTTTTCTACTAAAATACTCTTGGAAATGAAGTAGCATGGCTTTGCTAGCTGTTTTCTTTTGAAAAGCATATTCAAATCTTAAACAATTTCAACAACGGTGAATGTAACCAACGCATATGCCTTGATAACGTCTGCAGACCTGTGAATCAGTCATGTAAACAGCACAAACATTGAAGTCCCATCTCTTCAGCTGGTCAACAAACGTACGAAGCACAGGGATGTGAGAATAGAGCTCGATCTGGCCTGTATAAACAAAAATCACATGTAGTCATCAAATATCACGACTTAAAAAACATCAACGATTCATGATAATCCAAATATGCTACAGAACATGCAACAGCTGTACTCTGAAAAAATACTTTTGAACTAGATCTAAACTTCCTTTCCTCTATGCCAACTTTTTCCAAAAAGTGTTAATGTTGTCCTCAGCAACATACCAAAAGTATAAAATATATTTAACTATTTCATGAAATATATATATATATATATATCCCCTCAAAAAACAAGAAAATCTGGCGACTAAATAAGAGAAGAGCATACCGGGACAATCGAAGATCAAATAATCATCCTCAATGTAATCTTCCAACTGCTCTGACAGCCAGTCGTCGAGATTATCTTCTAGATATCTGCCACAAGGTTAAAGAGCTACATCTCGATTCCTCCTCACACATTTTACAATTGTTACTCATGAAAAAATCCTGAAGATAGCATGTACAAAAATATTATTGGTTTTGGTAGAAAATGATCAAATCAGAAATAATAAGAGACCTAAACGACAGCTTAACAGATTTTCAATAAGATTAAGAATACCAAGAAAGGATACTCCATGCAGTACACAAGACCACCATTTGGCCCAAGTTTAAGTTCCTCCATTACATCTTCCAAAGATATTAGCTCCCGAATATCTGTATGCAATGAGCATCCAAACTCGAAATTCAGATGACCATGGTAGAAAACTCTTCGATCGAAAAATAACAAATTTTCAATCCATACTCGATTATGCGATCAGTGTCTTGCAACACAGAGAAACTGCCATGAACTACATTTGCGTGTGCCTATCTACCAAGCAAGTCTAAGAACTTTCATTGCGTAGTATTACAGGAATACTCACCGACGGAGACAGGATACTCGAAGTGGTCAGCAGCTGGGTCCAAGTTCACTATATGGACAGTTCTTCCGATGCTTTGGCAGTGCTCGAAAACATTCGTGCAGTACGTTGACTACAAACAACGGTCACTAACACTTCAATCTCGAGCGGGTTACTACCAACTAACAAAATACGAACACGAGCAGATGTTCTCACATGCACTAGTTTAAATTTTGCGCGAAAGAATCAAGTTGAATCGTGCAATGAACAACGTACCTTGCCACTGCCAGCGGGCCCAATCACAAGCTGGGCATACCGCATTTTTGTAAAATGTGTCCCTTTTCAGAAGACTCCACTACAAACAACCTCGAAACTAAAATCTAAGAATAAAACCTTCAAGTTAATTGTCTTTCCACGACAATTCTTACCCTGCCCCAGCAACCCACAACAGATTTTCATTAAAAAGGCTGTTCCTTCTCGGAGTTACTAGAATTCTTTCTAGCAGGGCGTTAAGATTCAGAAACACAGAGGTTCTATAAGTTTTCCTCCAGGGAGTGGACGAGAGATTCGTGCACGAATCCAAAAGCTAAATTTGAACGGTTTGCACTGCTTTCACACCTACCGTTTATTTCAAAATTACATAATAAATAAATAAATTTAATAAAAAAATCAATTCTGAAATACACAATGTGTACCACCCACTAGCGACACAAAAACACTAAGATATTTCTGCGGCGACATGATACCAAATAAACACAATTCTTCAGCGAGATAGTGAAGCAATTGACGAAGGAACACAATGACATCATGAACAAGTATTCAATCCGAAATCACCAGTCAACCTGATGGTTCCTTTTTTTTCAATTGTGGCATGAAAACCTGGAGAATTAGAAAAGTAATATGCCTGAGAAAAGCACACCTTAACCATGAAACAATTTGATATTAACAGAAACATACTAAGAAGGGACGCACAGAGACAGGTGCACTTAATTCACCCACTCAACCCTCAGAAACTTAAGCAGAGAGCATTTGAAAGCTCCAAAGGTGCCCCCTTCTTCGTAAAAACGAAAAGCAGCTACTCAGATCCATGAATGAACTCCTATAACTTCATCTCCGTCTCCCCACAAAAAAAATTCTAAAATTCGCTCCACTCTCAATCGATCCAGGCATGTGAGCTAAAACTCAGCACTATTGCGACCCAAGCCACGCAACATAGAGGTAGATCACAGCGACGCAATTATTATGGAAATTGCCCACAGAGCAAAACGAGGAGGAGCATTCAATCCGAGATAGATATGAGGAGGAATACGAGGTTCAATACGCAGCTGCGAGGGTTTGAATAAAGAGAGGATGAATTTTCAGAAAGAATATGAGAGGGCTAATCCCCACCGCACCGGATAGAAACACCCCAGAATCGTAAACCCTAAACCATCATCTCCCAATCCAACAAACTCGACCTAATGTCACAACACTGACACCCATCGACCTCGAAAGCTCTTCAATTTAAAAAAAAAAAAAAAAAAAAAAAAAAAACTCATTCTACCACTGACGAGAACCGAAACCCTGCATCATCCATGTTCCTGCACGTTGGTGAATGTCTGAAGGCAATCCATCGCCCTGACCTATTCTGCAACGGCGATGTTTGCAATCCGCATCCCAGCGTTCAATTCAGCTCAGCTCAATTCACAACAGCGTCCAGCCTGAAGAAAGAAAGAAAAAAAAAAAAAAAAAAAAAAAAAAAGTTTTGGAATCGGCGAACGCGAAGAATACGATACAAACTTGGGAGCGCAGGAAGGAAGAGCAGATGCGGAGTAGTGAAGTAAACCTGCGAATTCCGCAGCCAAAACCCCCTCAACAAAAACACACACACACACACACACCGAGACACTAGAGTGAGCCCACCACCCCATTCAAGCCCCGGGGAACCCGAGAACTCTGGAACGGGAACAGGTTCCCTGAGGAACGCGAGGACGTAGGAACACATAGTGACAACTTACAAAGCTACACTGATATCCGAAATTAGTGTGAATCACACTATTTGGATATAGGTGAAGATATTGATATGTGAAATGCAACCATAGAAAAATCCAACAATTAGGTTTCTATGGAAGAAAAGATTCAACAATTGGGTTTCTACGGAATAAAAGATCCAACAATTGGGTTTAAAAGGAACAAAAGATCCAAGGGAGTGATGCAAAGCAATGATTGTTTTGTTTCCACAGTTTGCAAATAGTGTGGTAAACACTAATTGCGGATATTGGTGTAGCAAATCACAGTTCAATCCCACACATCAACATTTTATTACATAGAATGTGAAGGCTGGCTAGGGCTAAATGTACTTCTAATTGGGACTTAAATTTTATTTCTCTTTTCTACTTTTTTACTTTTTTACTTTTTTTCATTTATTCATGGATTTTGAGTAACTCTAATTTTGTTTTGGTACTGTTTTAGGAGTGGAGATGGTTGTGGTATCATTTAGAGAAGCTATTTTTAAAAAGTAATAAGATAATTATTTAGATAATTCTTTTTATAATACGTCTTAAAATTAATTGCAAATGTAATGATCTTGTTACTCTCTTATCCATAAAGTTGCATAATGTAAAATTTGGTTTCAAAAGTTAAAACGCTTGAAGCATATTGAAAAATTAATAAACAAAACTAATATATCTTATTCATGTATGATTCTATTGGATTGAGGTCACTATTTAGAAATGATTATGAAATAAAATGATGATAATAAATAAATAAACAATAAAACATTAGTCAATTTAAAGGTCTTTTACATTTAGGGGTGAAAATGAGATGCCTCATCTTTTAAATCCTTTCATTGGTTAATATCTAGAAATTTATAAATTATAGCCAATTAAAAGATTTATAAATTTTAGCCTTTCACCTTCTTTGCTAAGTATAAAGACCCCTTGTGCACCAAAGAAGGGAAATTGATGAATTGATAACATACTAAATTTTCATACAAATCAATCAAAATTACTTATATATATATATATATATATATATGTGTGTGTGTGTGTGTGTGAAACAAACATTAACATGAAATATTGTGCTATGAAACAATTTCAGACTTATACCTCTCAAAGATTTTTTGTAAATGGAAATATAAACAGTTATTTACATCACACCATGATTATCCTATTTTTTGAAGTAGAATTAAAATATAAAACTCAAGAAAATCCTAGGATTTGAATTTTATTTAGTTAAGTGTATTCATATAAAAAACAGTTTAACAATAATAATGATGCAACCTCTAATCAGTATACAAAGAATCACTGTAAATTCACAAAACTTCTACTTAAAACCACTATGAGGTGCACAAGCACAAACATAAATAAATAAATAAAATATATATTGTATACAAATAAGTAATGGCTTCTCAAAAAAGGTTCAACATGCAATTCACTTTCAAAAGTTAATAGTGTTTTTGTAAGAAATGCAAATATTCTAACATACTATGATCATCAACCCAAAATGTTATTTTATTTTAAAAAGGTATTTCTTTGCAAGCTGTCAATAATAAATTTAATTGTTTAGTAATAAATTTGGGTAGGTAAAAATAAACATGTAGTCATCAAAGTTCACTTGCTCCATTTGGACTTAAACCAACTGTGTGGCTTCTGAGCATATTTTAAAAAAATGTGCAATTGCAATTATATGTTTTTGAAATTATAAGGTATCAGTTATAATATTTGATATGTCTTGTATTTGTTCTTACTTGTTAAAATTATAATCTCACCTATTAATTACAAAATTAAATTAATACATGTTATTCAAATATTAACACATTTATTTTCAATATGATAAGTTGTAAGAATACATCTAAGGATATTTTCAAACCAATAATGTACATCAATAAGAAAAAATATAGCACACTTAGTATGTATATATATATATATATATATATTGATGGGAAGTTGTTAAAATCACACCCCACATAATTCATCTCATAATTGATTTCTTCGATTCTTCATCTACATTCCTAGTCATATGTCCACCATTACTTGTTTCTTGTCCCTCACATGATTTGGGGGTGTGGCTTTAACAACTTCTTATTTTTCTCTTTATTTTTATCTCAATATTAATATGGAAGAAAATCAACCACAATATATATATATATATTTATTTATTTCATAACATCATTTGGATTCTTTTTTATGCACAACATTTTTATTTTATTTTATTTTATTTTTAAAGGGCTTGCACAATATAAATTACTAAGAAAAAAATCATTTAAACAAAAAATGGTGAATGTGATGTATACATGGCTCTTGTGATTACAAAATATAATTTGCAAAGTCACAATAACTTTTATGATTTTGGATAAAAACAATCTATATATATATATATATATATATATAAATTAAAATGTTGGTATTTTGATCTTGTATTGCTTATAATATAAAAAAATATTAAAATGAAAATGTGATTATGTTTTAAGTTGATGCGTTTTACATTTTTTAATACTCAAAGAACATGCAAAAACTTAAGCCTAAAATTGCTTACTGTTTCTTCATTAGACAGTCATTTTACTTTGCAAAACTTTTAAGTTAACATATATTAACACAAGTTAATCAGTCTTGAGTAATGTGCACATGTGTGCTCAGTTTTCTTTCTTAAAACTTCAAATATTGATAAAAAAAATTATTGGGTTAAAAAAATCAAAATCAAAATCAAAATGCAATGTCACGAATTATCATTTTTTATTTTTTATTATTATTTTTTTTTCTGAAAGCATACATTTTAAAAGAAATAGTGCTAGGATTTTATTGGTAAAATTTAAAAACTTATATTGCTAATCTACCCAGGTCTTTTATCTTTACTTAATGTTGTTGGGTGTGTCGTCTTTTGCATTGGGATATTAATTTCTAATTATCTTTGAGATTTTTCAATTACCTTAAATTTGGTAGAATGTGATAATATACATAAAGAAAGTGAATCTTAGCACTATTAAAACACATAGATGCTCTCAACATGCGTTGTGAAATCCTTCTTTATTATTCTTCCACCATCGAGATCCTCTAGGCTAAGCATGGTATTATCTTTAATAAATTCTTGGTTCTAAACTTTAATACATAGTTGCCAATTTGTCCATTGGACAAAGTTTGTTGTATTGACTTTGCAATGTGCAAACTTCTATCTTTAACTAATAAATTTTAGTATTGCTCAACTAAACCAAACTATCTTATCTCTTGTTGTTCTCCTTGCTCTTACTTTGTGTCAATTGTAGTAATTTGATCATTATTTCAACCAGTAAAAATACAAATCTATACAATTGTTACACTTTTAGAAATCATATTTTGATTTAACACTTAAATACACAAAAATGTATTAAAAATGTAGATAACACTTTTGTATATGAAGTCATGAACCTTTACATTCTTGTTTGATTTAAAATTAAATGAGAGTTTTACTTCTTTCCTTGACTCTTGGCATACAAATATGTTATTGGTAAATGAGTTAGATTCAAAATTTAATATTATACAATAGATTTTTTTTTTCTCAAAAGACTTTATTATAACAAAAACATAAAATATAAATCCTTATAACATCTCTTCTATTAAACTGTGATGCTTCAGCAACCTCTTTTTGTTCATGTGTTTGTTCTTCTGTTTTCTTCAATTGGTTTTTGATCTTATCTTTGTCATTCTTCTAGCATATTTCTATTACCTCAACACTTATTTCCTAAAACCTATGTAGTCATCAATGTTATATTCTACAAGATATCAAACTCAATTTGACAAGTTGGATGTACTTAGTCAAATTTATTAGAATAACTGGATCTACTCAATAAAATCAAGTATTTTCTCAATTAACTTTACTAAGTAAAAATTTACATTAACATATACCAAGGAATTACATATATATGTAGATGGTACTGTATTGGAAGATTATAAAGTAAGTATTGCAAGTTTATAGAGGATTTTTACAAAGATAAATATTATAAGATATAAAACACTAAGTTAGGAGCATGTTTTCAAAAAAAAACTTGGTTGAAAAATATATTCTAAACCTGATGGGCGTTCTAAAAAAATGCTGCTTAGAAATATCAAAAAGTTATTAAAAGCAGTATTTGTAAAACTTGTTTCATTGTATTGAAAGTCATGTACAACTAATGTATAATTAATGTATAACTTATGTATAACATTTAAAATACCATCAGTCACACTTACATTTCAATTTTTTCATTTGTCAAAACTCACTTTTTAGTAAGTGTGTTTGTAAAGTCACTCCATAAATGTTTGAATTAGTTCTATCACGTTTTCGAAATCATTTTTACACAGATTTATACAAAGAAATACAATCTGAAAAGAACATAAGAGATGTTATTATTAAGACAGCTAATAACACTTTTTTCTTCTTGTTTCATTTATTTATTTATTTTTCCTGTTTTTGTAATTTAAAACTCTAGTTTGCACCATTGTTAAACCATTACTGTCATATATATTGATACAGAAGCAAATATGTCATTATTATTTTTAATTACTTATTTGTCTCAAGAAAT